TAAAGTATGCTGGAAATTGGCCCAACTTTGGTCAAGTAGAGCAAAATATTGATTAAATTTTTTTAAAAATAACCAAATAAATTGTAAATTCGATCAAATTGGATAAGACGAATTAATATCAAATTGAAGACTTGTGTAACTGATGTTGTAATTTTTGTAAAAGTTTATAATTTTGTTTGCTTAAAAAAATATTGAATCTGTCCTAAATTAAATGGTTTTAAATAGATGAATTGATTTTATTTGTTATTAGTTTTTTCTTCTCCATATTATTCAAGTTGAAGACATTTGAACAGGTATTTGTTATGCTTACATGTGCGTTGTACCGTTTGATGTGATAATAAGTTTTATTTTCTTTTGCAGATGAAAGACTCCCAACCCAATTCAACACAGTATACTGAATGGATACTTATTGCTAAATATACGAGGTTGAAAATAATTATATATTATACATATTTATTTATATTAATAGCAAGAGAATGGGAGAGGAAGGAGAGATGTGAGCGGAAGAGAGGTGAACTATATATGTATATAGGTTAAATAATTGTATAATATACATATGTATTTGTATATTCTGGCGAATTATACATATACAAACGTGACTAATTATACAAACTCAAAGTCATCCCACGTAATTAATGTATAATGTTAATCGCGAGTGGTAGTTATAGCAAACTATAGCTATGATAAGTAATTAAATAGCATAAATTTACTTAGCTGCATAATTTCTCCAACTCAATAGATCAAGGCCCATGTATCCGTTAGCCCAGGCCCAGAAAATCGTAATTACTCAGGCCCAAATTATTCATTGTTTTGTTTGAATCTTTGATTCAGTTCATAAGCTACTTGGTTATAAAATTATTTTTAGTACAAAGTATTATATTTCAGAAGGTAAAAAGATTCGGTGCGAATTTAAATTAGTTGATCAAAGTTGATATTGAATATTGGGTAAAAAAAGATTTATGATATATGTTAGTATTATGTCTTGGACCAAAGAAAGCTAGTAATTTCTTTGGTCTTTCGTATTATATTCTACTATTTGAATTATTGGAATATACCAAAGAAAGATGTGTTCTAGATTCTATAGTTATGGTGGGTTGAGAAGAACAAAGAGATAATTTTTTTTTTGAAAATGGAGACTAGATTTTGGCACCACCCATTTTGGTTGTGGCTCGGGTAAAATTTTTGAATAAAAATATAAATAAAATCAGATAAATCATTTAGATAATATCACATGTCGATCCGTTAGATTCAAGGATGTATACAATCCAAAAGAATAAAGGTAAAGGCATATACAATCTTAAAGTATAACGAAGGGTATTAACACAATATTCATGATAGTTCGGAGAATAATTATCTATTTTAATTTTTATTTAAATTTATCGAAAATAAAGATTTAAAGATATCCCTCAACTTTCAAGTATGGCTTATAATTATCTTCAAATAATAGCTTTGGTCAAAATATTTGCACATTACTTTATTTCTTTTCAATTTTTAAAAAATAATAATCTAATTTTGGTTTCGGACTGGACAACATATTTGGTCTATAGTCAAAAATATTTTAAATATTTTATTATGTAGATATGAACAACAAAAAAACATTCAAAGTCTTCTTAGATTTGGTCAAATGAAGTTAATTATTATTTTGGTTATTAATTACAAACGGTCAATCAAAATTTATTAAAATTTCAAAAAGTCAATATCTTTTACATAATAGTCAACTTAGTGTCTATTTGGCTCAGCTTAAAAGCTGGTCAAACTGACTTAAAAGCTGGTTTTTGACTTATTTAACTGTTTGGCAATACTCAAAATAGCTTATTTTGAGTTTAAAAAAACTTATTTTAAGCCAAAAGTTAAAAGCTGGGGTAGGGGTGCTTTTTTTTTTAGCTTATAAGCTGTTTTAAGTTGACCACATTTTTATGTTTTTTCCCTTAATATTTTTATACAATCTCCAAATTACCCATATAACCCTAACATCTCTTTCTTCTATTTTTCCCTTTTCACGTTTGACATAACAACTTCAGCACTTTTATCCAAACGCATAACTGCTTATTTTAAAAATAAGTTTCAGCACTTTCAAAAGTACTTTTTTAAAGCTGCTTTTATTAAGCCCATCCAAACGGCTCTTAATCTTTTCAACATCTCTATATAACAATGTCTTCCTTATAGTAGCAGAGATATCAATACTTACACCTAGCAAATCAAATTCAGTGTTGAGCTTTCTTGTTGAATTAATTAATCTAATTTCTTCAAAACACCTAAGATTCATGCCTATAAAAAGAAATGAATTCAGGATGGATCAAAGAACGATTCAACAAATGTTATTGATGTTATATTTTATGTTAAGTTATAATAGAGTTGAAGGGCAAAAAAATCTATCCAAATTTGAGAATGCGGAGTTAGAGAAACAACTAAAAATTTTGAACAAATCAGCCGTCAAAACAGTAAAGGTATTTTTTTTTTCAAAAAATTTATTTTGTTATACTTCTAATTGCAGAAGACATTTTATTTGATAATATCACTTTTATATTAGAGAAAACATTCATTTGTCACATGATTCTCGAGAAATGGAGAACATTCCCTTTAATTCCTTTTTTGAATGTAAACTTTTGTTGTAGTTGAAGATTGAGCAGGTAAGTCTGTTTTGATTTGTTTGTTTTACTTTTTCTTTTAATTTGATATGAGAAAAATGTTCTTTCTCATTTTTTTAAAATAGTTGATTCTATTTTTTCACATAACATGTTTAAATCACAAGATTTAAGAGAACTTTGATATATTCTTTGTATATTTATTTTAAGATTACAAGATTCTCAACAAAATTACCTTTTAAAACTTCATGTCAAATTCAATCAAACAAATGAACTAAAATGGATTAAGCACAATTTTTGCATTTGATTTTGCAAATTGGAGTCAAGGGCATAACAATGGCTTAGAACACATCTATCGAAGTATTTTTCATTAACATGTAATGACATTGATGAACATTTTTTCAACGAAAGTAGTATAAATGAATAAAATACGGACGAATGACCTAGATAAGTCTTTTCTCAAAGTTTGATAGAATATTTGAAAAAAAAATCTTTTTTATTTTTTTTTTAAAAAGCAAAGTAGTAGTATCACCATTTACTAAGAATTGTTCTCGTGAGTATGTTTTGTTTTTAAATGGTACATCTTGTTCTAACTTAGGTTACTTGTTTTATTAATTTTAATTGTTTACAGACTAAATATGGAGATACATACGACTGTGTAGATTTTTACAAACAACGTGCATTTGATAATCCGTTGTTGAAGGACCATAATTTTCATCCTAAGGCATATCTCTACTCTCTTTTCATTTCGTTATCATTTTGTTCCTATTGGATATGATATTATTGACATACAAGTAAACATCTGATTGAGCAGATGAAACCTACTTTATCTACAATCAAGAAAGTTTCAACCTTCTCATCAACAACTAATAGGTCATGGACAATATGGTCAAAAGATGGAGGATGCCCTTTTGGAACTGTTCCCGTTAAGAGAATGACAAAAGATGATCTTATAAGATTAACTCGTATGCCTCCTCCAGAGGATGTCACATTCAACGCTGAATATGATGTTGTAAGATGATTTATGCCAATTTACTTCTATATATCTTGCGTATTTCAAACGTAAAAATAAGTTTATTTTCTAATGCAGAGCAACAACAATAGTAGGTCAAATGGAAGATACATATCTTCACAAGAATATAAGGTGGTATATGGCTATAAAAATTATTTTTTAATGTCCATGTTTTATATAATGAGATTTGAAGTAATAAAGGAACGAGTTATTTTTAGTTTAATTTGAGTACTCTGTAAGATTTACTAAAAACAATTAAAAAAATATTTAGGTTGCAATAGCTCAAATTTCATATAATCCACATAACAAGTTTGCGGGAGCTGGAATGAAAACTGCTGTGTACAATCCTCAAGTTAATGGACAACAACACAGTGGATGTCGACTAAAAATTCATAAAGGATCAGATATCTTACAAGCTGGTTGGAGAGTAAATTTATATCAATTTTTTATTTCATTATTCTATCGTTTTGTGGAAGAAGGATGTGTGTTAATTATTGAATTTTGTGCTTTTAAGATGTGTATTAGAAAATTTGTTAGCAAATGCTGAATATTTAGTAACTATAATATAATATACTTGTTTCGTGCTTTAGGTGGACCCAACGTTATACGGGGATACTAAAACTAGATTTTTTATACATTTCCAGGTAACTATCTTTTTTATCATTGTGATTTCTCTTTTGAGTTCATTAAACTATTACATCTTTTAGGTGTGTTTGATGTGAATTTATAATTTTCTATATTTATCGGCTTAAATGTTTTGGAAATATTATTCAAATCAACTTAATTCCTTAAATTTAAGATAAATGTTTTTTAAAAAAAAGATGAAAAAAAATATTTTTCAAAAGCCTACGTCATTCTAATATTACAATATTTTTTTACCCTACCCCACAATCCGTACCCGACTCTCCACATAAAAAAATAAAAACTTATTTTTTTAATTTCAATTAATTTTTACCCTTTTCCCAATTCCTAAACCAACCCCCCTCCACTAAACAAAAACAGTTTAAAAATTCAAAAAATATTTCAAGCTTACAGATTTTTTATCTCACCCAACCATTATCACGCCTAACCCCCTCCCCCAACCTCCCACTCCCAAAAAAAATTTAAATTTTTTTAATTTTTGATTCTTGCTCCATCCCATACCCTAACTATGCAACCTCCTCCTCCCCCTCCACCCACACAAAACCCTCGTCAAATTTTCTTTTTTTTTCGCCATTACCCACACCTAATCTCTAAACTCCCACTCCAATCATTTTTTAAAAAATCTTTTTTTATGTCACCCCTATCCATCCTGCCAACCCCAATCAATAAAGAATTATTTTTTGAAAATTATCTCAGAGTAATAATATTGATTTTTTACGTCATCCAACCGCTACCAACCCCCCGGTTAATTTCTTTTTAAAAAATAATTTTGTTAAAAAATATTACAAATATATAAAATTTCATTTTTTATGTCAAACTTAACCCTACCCCCACCCCCACATCAATTTTTTGAAATATATTTCAAAATTATAAAATTTTCTTTTTTACACCATCCCTACACTCAACACCCTCCCCCCTCCGCCTCCTTATTTTAAAATTTTGTTTTTTGAAAACTATTTATTGTTCTCGACATGAGTCAGATCTTAAGGTCGCATGTTGGAACGGTCGTCGGGATTCTGTTCTAGTTCGGGTGTCAGCGTCTGGTCCTAGATCGATTATTCGGGTAAATTTTTAAGGAAAAAAATATTTTTCTAAAGAGTATTTTCCAGTCTTAATAAAAAAATAAAAAATATTTTATGATAAATGTATTTCATTTTACCAACCAAATATTAAAAAAGAATTCTACTCACCAACCAACATGAGAAAATAACTTAGAAATCCACTTTTTTTTTTAAAAAAAAGAAAACATTATGTACTAAAACATTTTTCAAGAAACACATTTTCCTTCGTAAAAAACACACCTTTAGTTTAACTATCTACCTTGATTTTTAAGCATGTATGAGATATATCTGTTTTTGTAGGCTGGTAAAATTCAATGCTTCAATACAGTATGTCCTGGCTTTGTACAAGTAAATCATGACGTACCTCTTGATGGTTCATTCACGGATATTTCAGAACATGGAGGAGAAATTTGGAGTCTGAAAATATACATTAATCGGGTACATTTTATATTGTCTTTATTTTTTTTATTTAGAGTCATTGAATATTTTATACATATATAGTAATTATAGTTAGGAGATAACATAAATATTGTTATTGACAACTTATTATTATTATATTTTTTTTGAGAAAAGGACTCATCCGGGAATTGGTGGATTTCACTGAATGATGACTTTACGCAAATAGGTTTCTGGCCACAAAGTCTCTTCACTGACTTGAAAAGTTTTGCTACGAATGTTGATTGGGGAGGAGTTGTATATAGTCCACCAGGTGTACCAAAACCTCTCATGGGCTCAAGCTATTTTCCTATTGAAAACAGTTCCTATGATGCTTATTGCGATGATGTTGCAATTGTCAATGAGGAAGGAAAAATAATTGAAGTAGATACATTAGCCACACATACCGATAATCCGTACAAGGTTGAATTTAAACGACTTTCAAAAGGTGCAATATATAAGTATTTTGTTCTGTATGGGGGACCGGGTGAAAGTACACATGTTTAATAGGAAATAAATTCTTCTAAATCATGAAAGAAGTTGAAGAAAATTGTTCCTACTTATTCTATATACACCTTTAATTTGAATGTTATATTCTTCCAAAGAAATGCAAAGGAAAAGAAAGGAAAATGATCAAAAATACATCTCAATTTTTATTTATTTATTGATCTTGTCAGTACCATTAGAATCGAGTTATTTATACTCTTGTTGTCTATAAACTTGTCACCCGTATCCCTCAATTGGATGAAAAACTCCAAATCAACAAAAATAATTTAATTTTAATAAAATTATTGTACGATTTTAAAAAATCAAACTTGGCACAACTAATCAAATAAATATGTCCAAATTAACCAAATACATCACTCTATTTTTCACGTCTTTACAACATTTTTCATCCATTTCTCCTCCTCATCTTTTCTCTTCTAAAATTGCTACATATTCTATTTACTGTGCGACCTGTTTTTCATCCAAAATTGCTATTTGTATTTCTCATTTCCAAGGCATTTTTTTCACATAAACACAATAATTTACTCACTAAGAAAACAAACAATTAAATAATTTACTCAATAAGAAAATGATTAAATAAGTTCACATACTTTTTCACCTTAAAAATTGTGGTTGCACTAATTTAATCATATACATGCATGTATTAACTTTGTGTAAACACTTGATACATGTAAATTTTATCAATAAAATTTTAATAAAAAATCTCAGCGACACTAAGAAAATAATTCATGCCAAATGAAAGATAAAAATAAAAGAATATAGTAAAAGTAATTTTAAAGATTGAATAATTAATTTAGTTTGAAGATATTTTAATAATTTAATTATTTTAAAATATTATTTCTTGTTAAATTAAAATTAACAAGTAAAACTGTATTGCGTTGGTAAATATTTTAATTGGTTAAAGTTTTACTTGGCATCTATCCAAAAATTGTCAAATTCACTGCCGAGTCAGAAAGTGCCAGTATCATCTTGGATTGACAGAATGAAAGCAAATTGTGAGCTCTTTTACTTATGATTGCAAGATTTGAAAAAGCCTTAGCTTTCCTCTTCATCTCATCCTATATTTTGTTCTGTTAAATGTTCATTATTCTTTTACTAGTAGTAAACGTGTTTTTCTTAGTTTTATCTTTGTGAATGAATTGATCACTTCGAATTTTGCTTGAGGTTATTGCTTGCTAATTAATTCAAAAGAGGAGTTAAATCATTTTCTACTACTTGTTTCTTTGGTATGCTAACATATTTTCTTTCGATATTAATTGAGTTTAAGATTAGTTCACTTTAATCTTGATGCATTCTGTTTGTCCCGAACATCGAGTTAAATGAGTACAACTGGCTTTTATTTTAGAATGATGAAGTGGTACATTTGTTTGTCTTCTCTATTTCTCTCACTTTGTCAATTATGGTGCTACAATACTGATGTTTAGTGACATGTTATTTATGATTGTTAACTTTGTTCATATTGAACTTTGCAGTATTATCCAAGTTTAAATCGTTCAAGATGTTGCATGAAAGGCATCTGTATCCTTGTTTTGTAATTGCATGTGATGTGATAATAAGTTCCATTTTCTGAATGAGTCTCTGACTTGTTTCCAGTTAGCTTTCTCTTTACCTCCAAATAAATCTCGTGGGATTCTTCTCTCTACTCGGATCACCCCTCTCATCCTCCATACTGTAAAAGAAAAAGAAAGGCAACAGGAAAATCAACATATCTTTCCTCTTTTTTCTGTCTGCCAGAAGCCAACATCGTCATTGTCATTACCTTTCCTTTCCCACAGAACCGTTCCCGCTTGTTTTACGGTCAGTTGTCTGGCCTCATAAAAGCTGTTTTTGGGTCCCCACTGTTGGGTTTCTCTTCCATTATGCCCAAAGACTTCTACCTCTATAATTAAGCTGTTTGATGAAAGCCTCCATCAATTCAAGTTATATGATGGAAATGGGCATTTCTTGTTTTCGCCCAGGGCTTGCAATATATTGATTTTGATAGTCATCCTTCACTTTTTTGAAAATCTTTAGTGGAAAATATTTGACAATGGGATATCATTTATTTTCTTTCACTGTGTCCCTATTGCTGCTTTTAACATGCTGATACTCTTTGGGATTGGTTGATCATTCGGTCATTCTTTTACCTGTTGAACTTACGTTATTATGGTACATCACTTAATATTCCACATGATAGGAGAATGGCAGAAATCGAAGTATGGACTATAGTGATGTTGGTCCATCAGAAGATCATCGATGTGTCCCAGCAGTCAATCCCACAGCTTCTGCCTCATCTTCGTCTCCTTCTGGTGGTCTTGCTTGTGCAATTGCAGCCCTTATCATATACGTTATTTTGAGTATATAACAATATTCCATTGAACACTATGTGAATATACGTTAAAATTAAGTCTGTGTTTTTATATTCATTTATCTAAGCATATGGGTGTTTTTGTACTAGGCATATATTGAAGACGAGAGTAATAATGCGCACTAAATTCAGAGCATTTAACTGCTTCACACAATAAATAAAGAGGAATACACACATAAATAGAGTAATGTCTTGAAGTACTTAGGATAAATACAAACCCAAAAGGCAATAACCATCAAATATTATGACTGAAATAATATATACTTAGCATTATTGAATACAAATTTTTCAGTCGAACTTATCATAAAATAAGCTTAATGATTTCCCATCTCAACTTTACCAGTATCAGGCCTTTTAACTGCGACCTTTCTCCAAACCTTGACTAATATAAACATCATAATTAAGAAGCATATCATAATTCCGACGCCAAGGGCAACTTGCGAAATGGGGCTAATGTTGTACCCCTTGTCTCCTGAACCTGGCCGATACTCCAAGTCCTTTTCCACGTCCATTTCCTGCAAAAAAAAAGGATTAAAAGGGTGATAACCTTTTTTCCAATTACATTCCATATATCTTGTGAAGAAATGAAAAAAAAAATGGAAGAGCAATGCATGCATGTTGTATAGCACGAAAATGATTCATGAATAAGTTCATCTTGTTGCACAAAGCCTGAGTTAACATTGAGACAAGACAATATATGCATAGCAATATAAAAGGAAAACAAAATATGAAGTTATCAAACCTCCTCTTTTCCAGTTACATTCTATATATCTTGTGAAGAAAGGGAAAGAAATGGAAAAAAAAAATGGAAGAGAAATGCATGCAAGTTGTATATATGTATACGTACTAAGCATGAAAATGATTCATGAATAAATTCATCTTGTTGCACAAAGCCTTAGTTAACATTGAGACAATACAATATATGCATAAAAGCAAATGACACTAAAAAGAAGAATATAGATAAAGATGCATACACTCGAAAAGGAGAATCTCTTTATTATAATCAAAGAAGAAATATTTTTTGTTATATTAATTAAACTACTCAAAGAATTATTATTTATACACGCAGGCTCGACCAAAATGTCGAGACAACCAACTATAATATGTTTTGTCTTTAATATCTTCTTTTTATATATTTTTGAACATTTTATTGAAATTAATTTTAATTTTTGTAAAAAATGTCACGTCATTTCTTTGATATCTATTTTTTTGCTTGCCGTTTATTTATGAAAATAAATCTCTCTTATTTAAGTGACCTTTCCTAATATTGGCAATTAGTATCAAATAATCCTAATATAATTCAACATGGACGCATTTGTAAGTTACACGTCCTTTTCTACATATTATTTTGTCACATCGAATTTTTATATAACAACACTTGAACTAACAAAACATCACTTTTAATTAACTAACTAAGAATTATTCCTGGTTTCACATTTATATAATAATCTTGATTTCTAACAATGTAAGAGTTTTACAAGTCATTAATTCTTATAACTTGCCTTGGACTCAATATAGAATATTGTTATAGGCGTGTGAATAAATTTTTCATATTAAAAGTCGAAAAAAAAGAAGATGTTACGTGTATGCAAGATTAATCGTAACAATTAATTTTTAATCAAAACTAAAAAGCAAAGTAAATTATAAGGTTGTTGATTATGGTTAGGCTCCATTAGACAAAATGACAAACAAATTAACAACAAGACAAACAAAGATTAGATATTATTGAATTACTTTAAGGATTTAAACTAATCGAAGAAATAAATTATTTTAAGATTTCTTAAAATTAATGCAGAATGGAAGAAAAATATGTAGGAAAATCAAATCCCTAGCTAATATAAATCACAAAATCAAGATTCTTGGTCAACCAATTAGTGTTCTTAATAGTATATAATAGTGTGGTCCTATTTCATAATAATACTACAAAATGTTGACCCCAAAAGCAACAATTGTATCGCCCCCATAAACAAACAATTCTGAATTTTTTAAAGGCTTTTTAATATGTGTCGCTATTTTATTGGGTCACATTATTTTTCCTGCTAATACTAGAAGAATTTTAATAATTACAAAATACATGGCTTTACTAATACATATTATATTATATACGATCAAATCTCGATATATATAATAACATTTTACGATATATGGTTTAGATTTTTTTACGAATCTAATTACATGTTATATTTATTTTCAATAATATTATTTTATTTATTATAACAATAATATTTATTAGGGTGATATATCCTCTATAACGGTTATAATCAAATATTGAGTAATAATAATATTTTTATAATAATTATTGATCCATAATATTATGTACATACTAAATTTTTAATAATAACATTTTTTTTAAAATAGTACACGTATATAATAATACCTTACTAAAAAATTATAAAATTTTCAGATAAACATTATCATTAATATAATGGAGTTTGAAAATATATTGCTTGATACGAAAAATATAGAATGCGCGTGTCTTTATTTTTCATTTGCTTGCACGTTATAAATCTATATTTGACAAGGACAATTAACAATTTTTGAACATTAATTGTTCAATGGAAGATGACACAGGTTATATTTGAATTAACGTGCATGCAAAGTTAAATCTGAAAGCAATATGATTCCTTTTATTTTTTATTGTCTTTGAGTTGTTTATGGTTATTTATTTTTTACAATATAGATAGTTAATTTTCCATTAAAGATAATGAGATAATACTTTAATTACGATGTGCATTTTGAAGCTTCCACAAATTAAATGAGTTAAATAAAAAAAGTTGTAAG